CGCCTCTTCAGCTCGGCCTCCTGCAGGAGTGGGGTCTCCTCGTGGGCGGCTGGCACCGTCCTACGCCCCGGGGCGCGCAGGTAGTGGCCGCAGGTCCCAGAGCTGACGGACTCACGCCGTCCGCGAGGTGCTCGAGGTGTGCAGAGAGCGAACTTGGGCTGGCTTTGCCCGAGCCGTTTCTAAACACAATAGGAATTCCAGCCTGACGTCAGGAGCTTTTCAAACTGTACCCTCTTCTGGTGAAATTCTGCAAGGCACGCGCGGCAGCTGCAGGGGACGGATTAACCCTTGGGCAGACGGGCACAGCTGCCGCGCCCGCCGTCGCCACCGCGCACCGCCCGCCCCTCCCCGGGCGCAGCGGGTCACCCAGGGGCTGCGACCTGGCTTGAAGCGGCAGGCGTTCTGTCTCACTGCTGTTCGCAGAGGATGGGTGGGGAGAGAATGCTGCCGCCTGTTGCTGGGCAGGAAAATGTGCTCCAGGAAGCCCCTTAGAAGGCGACTCCGATGTCCGGGTCCCTCCTCCGGCCTTAGGCCCGCACTGGTTTTTTCTGGTGGGAGGAAAATCCTGCCTGATCCTTGAAGCGTTTCCTGTCATCCCCCAACAATGCCCTGCTGTGTTGGTGGCACTGTCTCACCTTTCCCGCAACGCTGTACAAGGAGGACATCTAGTCTGGCCTCCTGTAGAAGGGAAGGGACTTGCCCAAGGTCACGCGGTGGAATGGGAGCAGAGCTCAGCTTGACGGCCTCCTGAGCTTTCTGGCTGTCCCAGCTGACTGACGCCTGCTGTTCAGCAGATTTCAATTCTGCCTTGAAGTCCCTGCTGTCTGGCACCTCCTATCTCTCTGCAGTCGCACACCAAGGCCACTAGCTTCCAGAGCCCTCGGGTCCAGTGACTCCTGCTTGCCGGTTCCTCACTCCTTGACCAAGGCCTGTCTCTTCTCGCTGCACAGAGTCCCACGCCCTCCTCTCTTCCAGCCTTTGCAGCCACAGCTGCCCTTCTGACCTCACTCACCTGAACCACTACAGCAGCTTCCTAACAGTGTCTCCCTCCTCTGGTTCACCACCATCATCACTATTGCAAATTACTGAGCATCATCTATGGCCTCGAGATTGTGTTAAAAATATTCTGGAGGGAAGGATGAAGAGGCAGAGCAGAGGATTTTTAGGGCAGTGAAACGTACCACAATGGCGGGTATGTGTTGTTATACAATGGTCAAAATCCATAGAATGTTCACCACCAAAAGCGAATGCTCATGCAAACTCGGTGCTAGGCGATGATGACATGTCCATGTAGGGTGGTCCACCATGACAAGTGTCCCACCCTGTGTGAGATGTTGATGGGCAGGGGAGAGCTGTGGAGACACGGGATGTGTGGGGATTCTCTGTACTTTCCTGTTGAATTTTGCTCTAAAATATAGTCTATTTAAAAATATATTCTGTAGGCTGGGTTTTTTAAAACTTAAGGACATGTCCGTTAATGGATTATGAAATCAATTTACTGGGTCACTGACAGTATTCTTTTTTCTTTAATGAGTTAGCATAAAACAGAATATATTAGAATACATCACACGGAGTATTATTTAGTGAAGCTTCTTTTTACAAATTTTACTTCACTTCCATTTAGCATCAGACAACGACATGCTACTACAGAGTAGGAAATCAAGGCTCAGAAAGGTTGAGTAATAATAAGAGTTGCCACTGACTCTCTGTGCGCATGGGAGCGCAGTCTCTGAGTGTTTCGCATGTTTCTCATTTAATCGCCCAGCAACCCCCTAAGGAAACAAGATGTCAGGTAACCTGCCCAGATCACTCTGTGGAGCTGGGGTTTAACCATCATCTGAGGCCTATTCTACCCCCCAGAACAGTGTGACACACCACCTCCTACACACACCTCAGCTTCCTCTTCCAACCCTTATGCATGCTACTCCCCTTCTCAGCTGTCCTAGTACCTGCAGGGTTAAGATCAAATTGCATTTTAGTCTGAGTTTAATGGGCTCCTAAATACCCATTCATTCACTCAGTTACTCAAATATTTATCGAGCTCTTACGGCACATGCGTGCAAAGGCACACAGACACACTCACACACATACACACACCACCCTAGGTGTGGGGACAGGGTTCATATTCTAGTAGATAATATATTTTTTGTAAATAGTAATTAACAGTTTGGGGTAATGAGCTTAACAAGAGAGGTATAGGTATTACACAAAGAGTAGTGCTTCCTGAATTTCTCCACAGGGGGCGTTGAGGGGCGGCCATCTGGTTGGAAGAGGGAGGGGCTGCTTTTGCCTAGAAGCACAGCCTTCACTCTCAGGTTTGCATCGGGTGTCTGGTGAAGCTCCCTCAGCAGATAGAGCCCCAACAGCTACTCCTTTGTATCCGGACGAAGTACAAGGTGCTGTGGAACCCGGGAGTTTGCAGATACCTCGGCAGGCCCAGGAGAGGCTGGTGCATTCAAATCATATCCCTGGGATTTAGAGAGATCAATGCCATTGAAAGAATGCATCACTAACATGTCCTGAGAGAAGGGGACATGCCAGAGGAAGTTCCAGGTGTGGCCAGGCAGAAGCAGGAGTGAGGGGAAAACGAGGCCAGGCCCTCTATTGGGGTTTCCTGGGGGAAAAGCTAGGGCACAACAGAGGAAAGAGTCCCAGATTGGCTCCTTGGGATAATTCTGGTGGACTGGACTATACAGGTGGTCTCTAGTTGTCTAGTCCTTGGCCTGGGGTGATTTAGGGCAGGGAAATATTGCCTTGGTGTGTGAGAGTTTGATGAGGGGGACGTTGGGGGTCTGGGCCTGAATTGGTGGATTTGCGTGTGAAAGACGGACTGCAGCCTTTCACAATCTCTAAGGACGCCCTCACGGGGAGGGGCAGTCTCTCCCCAGTCTGTGAGGCCATACTGGCAGTCATGAGGAATGCAGAAAACAAGAAATCATAGTTAACACACCATTGACCCCAGGATGAGAGGATGGTACGCGGACAAATCTAGAATCTAGAAAGATGTGATGACAAGCTGGAGCCTCAGGCCCCCGGAAGAGCCAGTGCGTGAGCTGAGCCTGGAGGTCTGAGTGTCACTTGCCTGCTCAGCTAAAAGGACCACACGGTTTGGAGCTGAGGCTGGCAGGCCCAAGGCTGGTGGAATCAGCTGGAAACAGACCCCAGAGAGTCTCAGCGGCCCTGAAGGTGTCTGGACCACAAGTCAGCACTTCATACTTTAGGTCATGGCTCAGTAGCTGACTGTGAAATTAATGTATTGAGTATTAGAAAATATCAGAGAATATCAGACATGGAAAAATAAATACGGCTTGAATCAGGTAATAGCAGTCAGAGGCTGACTCTGGCTCCAAGTCCATTCAGCAAATCCCAGGCCCAGTGGTGAGAAAGTTGGTCTGGTGCAGAAGTGGGAGAGGAGGGGCAGCAGATGCAAAGCCCAGCAGAGAGAATGTCCGCACACAACCCACAGCAGAGCAAGCGCCCCCTGACAACAGGGGCGGGAGAAAGAAACAGCTGTAAATAGCAGGTCAACGCTGGAGGTGGGAGACCAGCCTACAGCCAGAAGCCAGGGGAGGGAAGAGAAGAGGCAGAGACACAAATCCTGCTCTGTGAGGATCAGCCCTGTATCCTTAGATGGGGGAGCAGAAGGCTGGCATTCATGTGGCCCTCAGTTTCCTGGGCTGTTAAATGGATGACGTGGACTTACATATTCACACGTTGTCATTTGTTGAATAGTGCAGTGAACAGAGAGGCTATGAGTGGAGGCCTGGCCAAGCTCTGACACTTACTGGTGGTATGAGGCTGTGGGTTCAATAATGTCCTCCCAAAAGACATGCTCAAGCCTTAACCCCAGCCCCTGTGAATGTGACCTGATTTGGAAATTGGGTCTTTGCAGATGTAAGTGAAGATGACGTCACCCTGGAGTAGGGTGGGCCCTAAACCCAATCACTGGTGTCCTTGTAAGAAGAGACACAGACACACAGAGGGAACGCCACATGGCAACACAGGCAGGTGGGAGTGATGCTGCCACAAGCCATGGTACGGCAGGGACTGCCGGCAGCCACCAGAAGCTGGGAGAGACGCATGGAGCCCTCTGTGTTCCCAAGAGAGAACCCAACCTGAGGCCACCTGGATTTCGGACTGTGGTCCCCAGAACTGTGAGAGCATACATTTCCGTTGTTTTAAACCACCCGTTTGTGGAATTTTGTTATGACAGTCTTAAGATACTAATACATGTGGCCTAGGCAAGCTGTGACTTTTTTTTTTTTTTTTTTTTTTTTGAGATGGAGTCTCATTCTGTTGTCCAGGCTGGAGTGCAGTGGTATGACCTCAGCAACCCCTGCCTCCTGGGTTCAAGCGATTCACCTGCCTCAGCCTCCTGAGTAGCTGGGATTACAGGCATGCGCCACCACACCTGGCTAATTTTTGCATTTTTACTAGAGACAACGTTGCACCACGTTGGCCAAGATAGTCTCATCTCCTGACCTCGTGATCCGCCCACCTCAGCTTCCAAAAGTGCTGGGATTACAGGCGTGAGCCACCTTGCTGGGCTGGCAAGTTGTAACTTCTTTAAGCCTCCAATTTTTCATCCGTGGACTAAGGAGACTGCCACAGTACACAGTGACGGGGCTACAGTGGGGACTCAGTGCTAGAACAAGTGGGGACTTGGCACTGGAACAGGTGGGGAGCAAGTGCTGGGACAGATAGGAACCAGATGCTGGCACAGGTGAGGGCCAAGTGCTAGGAGAGGTGGGGGCCAAGTGCTGAGATAAGTGGGGATCAGGTGCTGGGATAGGTGGAGACCAGGTGGGGACCAGCTGCTAGGAGAGGTATGAGCCAAGTGCGAGGGCTACCCTGGAGAAGGGAGGCCCTGATTCAGCGTGGGACCTAGAGGAAAGCTCACAGAGAAGGGCCATGCACCCGTCTATTGAGCTGGCAGGAGTGGTTCTTACTGCATTCCAGGCTGTGTTCTGGGCGCTGAGAACAGAGCAGAGACGAGATGGACGAAGGTGCCATCTCTGCAGAGCTTGCGGATTTGAGGTGTGGAGACCACGAAGCAGGGCCTATTGTGAGAGGTGACTGGTAGGCCAGGGACTGAGGGGACATCTGGGAGCCTCCAAGGGGACATTTGGGAGGCCTGGCTGTCCAGGGAGGCCCAGCCTGTCCAGTGGAGCTCCCAGAATGACTGAAGGGCTCCTCAGCCACACTATCCGGTACGCTAGCCACAGCCGCACGCGGCTACTGAGCGTTTGGCCTGTGCCTAGTGCACCCGACTAGCTGAATTTTTATTTCAATTATATTTGATTTTTAACAACTTTATTGAGATGTACTTCACATTCCATACAATTGATACTCCAGTGGCTTTTAGTAGATTCAGAGCTGTGCCGCTATCAGCACTGGTTCATCTTAGAACATTTCATTACCCCCAAAATGAATGCCACACCTTTTAGCCATGACCGCCAAACTCCCCCTGCCCTAGACACCCACTAGAATACTTTTTGTCTATGAATGTGCCTATTCTAGGAATATCATATAAATAAAATTCTATATGACTTTTTGTGACTGGCATCTTTCACCTACAACTTACAATTTTTGTTTGTTTGTTTGTTTGTTTGTTGTTGTTTTTGAGACAGAGTCTGGCTCTGTGGCCCAGGCTGGAGTGCAGTGG